CCAGGTCCACTCCACCATGTAGCCTTCACTCTAGACTCTTGTGATGACAAAAATACCTAATCGCATATCCCTTTTAAACAGTTTTCTCCCTCATCTGTTTCAATGCAGTATATATTATTGAACCCATCTTTCTCAGTCTCTCCTCAAGCCCAAGGTCAGTCCTCTTTTACAACAGTGGCACCATGCAGTATTTGTCCTTTTGTGACTGAGATTCTTCACTCAGCATAATGTCCTCCAGGCTCACCCATTTTGAATTATATTGCATGAGTTCCTTGTTTTTCAATGCAGCATAGTATTCCATTGCGTAAATATACCACAGCTTCTCTATCGATTCATTTGTTGATGGGCACTTAGGTTGTTTCCAACTCCTTGCTATTGTGAACAAAGCCACAATAAACATGGGTGTGCATCTATCTGCTTGGATGTCAGTTATGGTATCTTTGGGGTATATATTCCTAGTAGAGGAATTGCTGGGTCAAATGGTATCTCTATTTGTAACATTTTGAGAAAGCACCATACCACCTTCCACAGTGGTTGCATTATTTCACACTCCCTCCAAGAGTGAATAAGATTTCCAGTTTCTCCACAACCTCACCAGCATTTGTTGTTTGCTGTTCTGTGAGATTTTGCTATTCTGACTGGGGTGAGATGATAGCTCATGGTTGTTTTCATTTTCATCTCTCTTAGAGATAGTGATTTTGAATATTTCTTCATGTGCTTGTTAGCCATCTGAATGTCTTCTTTGGTGAAGTGTCTGTTCATATTCTGTGCCCATTTTTCTATTGGATTATTTACCTTTATCTTGTTGTGGTGCTCAAGTATTTTATAAATTCTGGATATGAGTCCCTTATCTGATATGTCATTATCAAATACTTTTCCCAGTCTGTGGCTTCCCTTTTTACCCTGTTGGAGAAGTTTTTGGATGTGCATAGTAATTAGATTTTTAAAGTTGGAGACCAGATCCAAGATGGGGGTGGAGGCAGAGACAGCGTGGTGAGCTGCAGGAGCAGCGAACCATTTATTTTTTTCCCTATAATTATATTTTATTAATTTTCATAAACATTTACAGAGATTTTGGGTTTCCATTCATTCATTGTTGCACTATTCTCTC